GACTAAATTGAAAATGGAGATTTTATTATGAATAATCTGATTAGAAGAGCTAAAAATGCATTCATTCTGAAACATCCATTGAATAACCAGTCTAATTTTTTCATTCATAAGCAACCCTCTTCTCCTATCCACTCTTAAATGATAGTAATTCAATAGTATGTTATATATCGATTTAAATGTAAATGTGGCAAAAATTGGGTACGGAGCCGTAGTGGGAACTCTTCTTATAGTTGGATAACAGACAGCAAAGCAAGGAAAATTGAATAATCGACATTTCGTCAACTATCACAATGACAGGTTCAATGAATAAAATGTATCCTTACCGATATGTTTAATTAATTTTTTAGGCGACCCATTTTCATTGGGTGTAACCTTTGCAATTTGAATCAAAAGTTATTCTAAATTATGGGATACTTCTTTTTTCTCTACAGTATGACAAGCTTACTCGGATAATGAAGGACTTTGAACCATTCAGGAGCTTGTGGACCTCCGTTTCGGAATGGCTAAAGACACAGGAAATGGTCATGAACGATCCGCTCAACTCGGTGGATGCTGAGCATGTCGAGCGGATGGTCAGTGACTGTTATCGAGTGATGCACAAATCAGTCAAGCACTTCGCAGAGTTGACTGGTGTCTCTGATGTATGCAACCAGATAAAAATGGCTATCGAAGAATTCAAGCCCTTCATACCTCTGATACAGGGCCTTCGAAACCCCGGAATGCGAAGCCGACATTGGGAGCTGCTCTCTCAAGAATTGGGGATCAATTTGGTACCAAAGGCTACGCTTACCTTTGCCAAATGTCTGGAGATGCAGTTACAGGTAAGTAAAACACATTACCCTTTGCGAAGTGTATCATTATATGGCGGAATTATGCTTTGTAAATTTGGCTCTTTTTTACTGACGTGGCTGCACTTACAGACACTTTACAAGAGAGTCATTCCAAGATATACTTACGTTATTGTAGCATGACTTCCCATTTCGAAGGAAAATTTGGTTGGAAGGAATTCGTGATGTGGTCTCTCCGGAAACCGAAAAAGGATTGTCGCGTAGGAAAGACTGTTGAATTGTCGACTCACTATCATGCGACCCCGATGAAACTGCTCTAAACTTTCGTCTGTACAACTGTGACAATCATCATCATAGCAAGATTACATACTTTACGAAATAGAGCAAAAATTCACTAAACCAAGAGAATAAGATGGCCGGCTGCAACCCTATTCGCTTTTTATACAAACATCGCGATCTTAATGAAACCTCCCCTAATTTGGTTGGCTACTTCAATCTTACTCCACATGCTTGCAAATGAGTAAAGTTTTACATTCCCAAACCAGAAGTGCGTTTAGTTGAAGCTGCTTCATTACAGAAAAAAACTTAACGTTGAATCATGTTTAAACATGTGCTATTTTCTATTGTGTGCATGTAATGCTCATGTCAAGGGTAGTATGATAGTTCTAGCTAGGCACGAGGCTAATCCAGCCATCTCTTACTCAGTGGCTCTTCCTGCACCCTCTCTTTCTCCAATTCCTTAAGTCTATCCAACAGCCACAAAATGTTCCTACTTAGTTTTCTACACATTGAACTACAAGTTGTCCCTTTAATTGATGGTCATG